GCGGGGCTGGGCGTGTGTGTCGGGGGCGGGGGGACGGGCTCGTCCATGACCACCAGGGGGCGCTGCCGCTGCGCCCACTGGGGCCGTGTCGCCTCGCTCCGCCAGGCCCTGGGCCCCGGGTCGCTTCCTCCGCCCAACCGGCACCGGCACAGGTACTGGCACCAGCTTCAGCATGAACACTGGCACCAGCATCACCAGGTCCTCCTCGGATTCAATGTCTCAGCTCACGTGGTGGGATGCCCTTCGCTGGATGCCAGCTGCCCACCAAGCCACTCTATTGCTGCCTTCCTCAGCAGCACATGGAAGAGGAGAAAATAAGATGGAAAAAACTCATGGATCAAGATGAAGGCAGCTGAATAAAGCAAAAGCAGAGGCTGCACAACGAAGCAAAGGAAAACATAAGCTTTATACTCTAGTTCCCATCAGCAGGCAATGTCCATCCACTTCCCAGGAAGCAGGGCTTCAGTACGTGTAGCAGTTGCTTTGGAAGACTTCTGAGGTTCAGGGCTGGGCTGGCCATTAAGTGGCAGACAGGTGCTCTCTGTTAATGCCTCTCTCCTCCTTAGAAGGGGATAAGAAAGACAATAAGGGAGAGAAATTTATGGGCTGGAAAAGAAAACTAAAACAGGTTTAATGAAACAATACCAATAAAAGGAAAGAATAATAATGTAAATAGGAATTTAATGAAATATATACAAAAAACAATATCAATTCCTTCCACCACCTTTCACCATATGATGATTATGTCAACAGAGGCTCTTGGGAGCTGGGCACTGGAAAAGTCTCAGACTGGACTCAGCAGCAGGCGAGAGCTCAATTCAGGAACTGGATTCAGGAACACATGGATAGGGATTGAAGGTAGATGAATTAGCAGAGTTCTGCTCGGACATCAGCCATGTCAGAAGAGGGAAGAAGAGAGCTTGACCCTCATGATCCCTCAGCTTTATACAGACTATGATGTATGTGGGATGGAGTACCGTGTTGGTCCATTTTGAGTCATCTGTCCACTCCTCACTGCAGTTGCAACACATCACTTAAAACACCCCAATACAACACCCATGGTGGGATAGTGTCCTTGATCTGAGGCACAAGAGCTATACTTACGTACCATACATACCTAATAGTAACTTTAATCATTAAGCACAATCACTTGTAGAAGCAGATACTATCTGGAAAAATGTGCTGTTAGTTTCAGAAAGTACAGTCACTTAGAAGAGACTTAACTGAAAAAGGAAAATCCCTAAATAGATAATTACTTCTATTTAGCACAAACCCTGATAAAGACAACCATTGTATTAGTGTATGTCCCCTCCTCCTACTTTCTATTAGCTTTCATTGCTGAGCAGATGTCATATGGTGTGGATTATCCCCTTAGTCTGTTTGGGTCATTTGTCCTGGCTATGTCCCCTCCCAAGATCTTGCTCACCTCCAGCCTACTGGGTAAGGTAAGGGAAATGTTGCAGTCGCAGCTCTGATGCTGTGGAGCACTGCTCAGCACTAGCCAAAACACTGGTATGTTACCAACACTTTTTCTAGCTACCAAGACAAAGCACAGCACTCTGAGAGCTGCTATGGGGAACATTAACTCCATCTCAGCCAGACCCAATCAGCTCAGCACTTCTCATTGATGGGTGCTGCAGATCTGTGCTCCTGAAGGCAGCAAAGAGCAACCTTGGTCAGTGCTACATAGGGAGGCTGAGATAGTCCATGCAAGACAGGGAGGGGAGTAAGGTTTTTCCCACAAGACTGTCTTGATTCCCTAGAAAGGTCTCAGAGCATTCTAGGTAATGTGGCATCTTCTGGCCTATCTGAAAAGGCCTGCCAGTGTTGCCTCAGGAATGCATCACAGAGGGCAGATTGCCATCCAGCCCATATCAGGCTTGTTCTATTCTTGCCTCAGTCCTCCTCTTGCCAAGGATGTTGAGCTTTTTTGCCTTTTATGAAGGCCAAGAAACACCTGTATGTTCTTCACCCAAAGACATGGCACGAGGATTTCATGGTGCCATGAGTAAAAAGAACTCAAATGCTCCAGCAAGATGCTCAGCTTAGTGGCTGTCATATCATAACTTAACTCCTTTGTGCAAACACATCAGCAGCTCCCACACAGTGTTTTTTAGCTTCTCAAGGACATCCACCAGGATCTCTACCCAAGGTTGTTATTACTGCTAACAGGCTTCTTGGACATTCAAAGTAGGCAGTAAGGAATGGGGCAATTAAGAAACCAATCTGCTCAGGCATTACCAGACATAGAATAAGCTGCAACTGAGTCAATCTTTGCATGTCAAAGGTCCATTTCAAGAAACCAGAAATGTTTATCAGAGCTCTACCAAGTTCTCTCTACTATAATGTCCCACCCACTGAGGCCTCACAGGCCCTGCAATTCTGGAGGGTCCCCCTGACATTCATCTGGAGCTGCCTACCAGGCAGAATCTTTGTCTACATCTCAAGCCTCAGCTGACACCTGCCCTTCCACCAGAACGCAGGCAGAATTTCCCCCCTGACAGTGGCAGTGACAGCGGCAGCAGGGGAGGAGTTGTGACCAGAGAGGTGGCAGGTTCCAGCAGTGCCCAGGAAGGAATGATCACAACTGCCTACCCTGCTGGCTTCCTGGGAAGAACAGCACCTTTCTGCTCTGCCCAGGGAGGTGGGCAGCAGAGATCCTCCTGCCCACGGGCAGCCAGGCAACCCTTGGTCCTACCACAGGAGCTGGCCATTGCTGCTGAGCCATGGACAGGGCTGGGCATCTCTTGCACCCCACTGACATAGCCAGATCCTGTTAAGACAGAAAGACTCAACTCAGTCAGTGCTAACAAAAGCCATTGCTTTGAAACTACAGCCAGAAGTAGCTTCTTCCTGGTAACTTTGTAAATAGGATCAGGTACACAGTTACAAACTGAATCCTCCAGCATCACAGTCTACTTCCAAGGTGCTCCTGCGGAGCTTGGAAAGGCATCCTGGAGAATCAGAAGTTCTACCTCAGCACCAACATGAGAAGGAGATACTGATTGTCACAGACAATCATATCCTACAGTGGCTAACATTCAGGACATAGAGCTTGTTGCACAGGATTGTCATTAACCTCACCTTGAGAGTGCTTGGTGTTGAACTCCATGAGACAGCAGAGAAGCTTGAGCTGGGCACTTGTTGAAAGACAAAGCTGAGACTCGAGTTCAGACTTGAGGAGTGATCCACAATGAGATCTGCTAAGTGTCCCTTCAGGACTGAAGGTCTGATGTGAGTGAGAGCTGGAAAGAGGCCTCTGGGTGTTGGGTCCTGGACCCAGCCACTCCCCAGTAAGGCCTGTGGAGATATGGGAGCTGACACAGCTGGGAAAGTCTATGTACGTGGACTTCAGAGGCAGAGAGGAAAGGTCCAGCCCTCTTGACTGCCTCAGCTGGGACTGTTGTGGCAGCTATAGCTGTATTACAGGGGAACTGCTGGCAGGTTGGCAGACATTGGAGAGCAGAGGGCAGCCCACCGTCCTTCTGCCGGCGGCTCAACTGAACAACAGGATCCTGAAGGCCTTGTGGGAGCAGGGCTGTGAATGGGGTTCCTATGATAACATCCTTCCTGCAGTCCGTGCCAGCTGTGTGAGCAAAGGGCCTGTGTGAGAAGTGGCAGAGGAGCCCTGCTCCAGGCAACAGGCAGCAGAAGGCATTAAAATCAAGTAGCTCTTTTTCTTGCCTGGGTCTCGGGGTTCTACGTCCCTGGGTGACAGAGCAGCTGGAGGTTGTGGATAATATGGGTAGATGAAGGAACACAGAGAGACTGCCTGTACAGAAGAGAGCTGTGTTACTCTGTCCTCCCCCTGCCAGAGTGCGGGAGTTTGTCTGTCCCTGTGCGGCTGGGTTCTGCAGCAGATGCTCTGGACAGAGATGTTTCTCTTCAGATGCCTCGTCTATAGCCACAGGCGAAGGGAGAGAGTGTGCAACACCTCGGTCCAGGCACTTCCATGTGTGCCTGGTCCTATCTCCATCCAGACAGTTCCAGGGACAGGGTGGACATGGGTGGGTGCAGGGCTGCCGTCTCCATCTCCTGCAGAGCTGGATGCAGGACTGTGCAGCCTGCTAGGTTCTTGATGTCAGGAGAAGTTCACAAGGGATACCTGTCCCTCTGATGGACAGTGCCTAAACCATGAATCTTTTATCTCTCTAGAGAGCCTTCTTGTGGTAGAAGGTGGAGGGCAAACCCAAAGAGGCCTGCCTGGAGCTGCAGAGAAAGAGTTTTGCTCCACCCTCTGGGGTTTTGTTTGAGTCCTCTTTGATCTGGCAGAGACAGACAAAGAGCTGAAGTTGCAAGCAGCAGGGCACCCATGCTGGCAGGTCCCTGGGCACCCCATGAAGGGAGAGCGTGACATGGTCCTGATTTTCCTGGCAACCCTGGTGGAACTGGCAGACTTGGGTGAGATTTGACATTCAGGCTGGGGACAATGAAGCAAAAGTTTGTGTGTCTGGTGGTGGAAGGGAGGAGACGTGAGCTCTGGAGACTCTAGGGGATCTGGAAGTGCTTCAGATGTGACTTTCAGGGAAGAGTTTGTGTGGTTGTGGTTGAAGGGAGGAGATATGAACCCTGACTCCCCAGGGAATCTGGAAGTGTTTCTCTAGCAAGAGCAGGGGCTGCAGATGGGTACAGCAAATAATCTGGAGATGTCCAGAGTAATGGGCTTCAAAGGAAGGATAAGACCTCACCTTAAATTTGCAGGTACTGAGCATTCCTGAATGTGCTGCTAACATACATGAAGCCTGAAAGAGGGAAAGACTCTAGGGAACAGAGCAAAGTGGCATATAGGAACTTCTCTCCTAGATGCATTGGATAAAATGCTACTAATCTCTGTAGGGACAGCCACAAACCGTGGCAGACAAACAGAATGCTAATGCAATGCAAGAAGAGCTGAAATGCCATTCAGGGACAGGGTAAGGGCAGAGGATGTGGCGTGTCATGTGGAGGAACTGTTCTAGCAAGAAGATATGGTCAGAGGTAGGAGAGGAACAGCTCATGTCTTCTGCTGCTGAAGGAGACACCAGCAGTTAACAGCTCAGAGGCAGATATGGAAAGAATCAGAAAATGAAAGACTAGTGAATATGTCTGAAAAGCAGGATAATCTGAGGGGGGTAAGGAGCGGCAAGAACTTGCAGAAAGAAGGATGCAGGGACAAACAGGTCAGCCTTTCAGTGGCTAGGAAAAGTAAGATGGAAAGTGTGGACAAAGAGCAAGCTGATGAAGTGATAGATGGAGGGGTACACAGGTAAGCAAAACTGAAAGCCCTTTCTGGCTTTACAGGCCATGCCCAAAAGGACTCCGTGCTCCAGTTCCCAGCAGAAACAACCATCCACATGGGACACAATGCAACTCTGTACTGCAATTTCTCCACCAGCGATCCCAATCCCTACATCTTCTGGTACCAGCAGCACCAGACCCAGTCCCCTCAGATGCTGCTGTGGGTGAGCAAGTACAAAACTCACGTGGATTCAGGGAGGTTCTCTTCTGCGCTGTCTTTGGAGACCTCCAAAGTGCTTCTGCACGTACAGGATGCTGAGCTCCAGGACAATGCTGCCTATTTCTGTGCCCTTAGCCCACAGTGGTGCCTACAGCATGCAGCACTGCACAGAAATGTGGTTGGTGCTCTGAGGAGCAGTTCCCTCCCTGCCACTGCTTGCATGTAGCTCTGAACTCAGCCTGCCCAGTAGTGGCACCTGGAGACTGTGGTGAGGCTGGGCCTCTGCCTCCGCAGCCTGTGTTCCTGTGAAGCATGTGCCAGCATGACTTAAAAGCTGCATCTAGATCCAGGGAGTTTGATGATGAAAAGGGTCCAAAGAAATCTGACTTGGGGCAGAATGACTGGAGCCTACAAAATAAGACAGCCAAACTAAGCTTGTAAATGCCCTCTGCTTAAAATAGCTGATGCACTGGAGTGAGTACTCAGGGCAACTAACCTATCAGCTTGTCTTCATGTTCCCTTTCCCTGTGTCTCCACTCATGGCCATAGCTGAAGAACAAGGCTTTTGTTAGGATGCAACAACACTTCTTATGGTTTTGCCATGAAGTCACAGTAGCCCAAGAAGGGAAGAGCCCTTTCTTGCCCTGCATCTCGACATCAGCAAGTGAAAAAGACCTATCAGCCAGATGCTGGACAAGATTCTCTGTTCAAACCCTTCCTGCATTCATCCACTTCCACAGAGTGGTCTCACTCTTTTTCGTGTCTCTTCTCCTTCTCAGGGAAATTACCATTGCCTGGCAGGGAGGAAACCATATGTCCCTGAGTCCATGCTGATTTGTCTGTCCAACAGTTGGTAACCACATCTTGTTTCCCCCACCAACCAGCTTGTTACATTCCATAGGCAACAGGAATGGTTCTGGGGACCTATTTGCAGGCACTCCCACTCTAGCATTGCTTGTTGAACCTCAGCAGGATGGTGCAGACTTTCCAGCTGGTTCCCATGCTGTGAATTGGAGTCTGTTGCTCATGAAGCATTATCCACTTCACCTGAGAAAGCCTAGGGTACTTGGATGTTGTCCGACTGCTCTTCCAGGATGGCTGGTCTCTCCCAAGTGTTGTGGGTCTGCTCTGACAGCCCTGCTGGAGGCTTTGCAGGCTCCTATTTTTCTCAGAGGGCTCTGGGCCTCGTTGATGGGGAGCTGATGGCAGCCCTCAATGTTCTGCACTCTGCTGTGTCTCTGGTCCCTTGGACAGATTCGGGCTCAGGTTCTTTCTCCAGCCTTAGTGGGCTGTCCCAGGGATTTTCCCAAATGTCACTGAGAGAGCACAGCTGACAAAGGTGGGCATCAGCTTGTGTTTGGGTGCAAGTGCCTGGGCCTGACTGCAGCACAGATGGACACAGGAGGTTGATGAATTGTCTCTGGAAGCAACACTGCCTCTGAAAGGGAGGAGTAGACATTCAGTCTGGACTCAGTCATCTCTCTTGGAGAGCTCCACACTCACATGAAATCAATCCCACACTGCTCATAAAGGTGTATCTGCCATGTTGGTGCCTCGTCCTGATTAAGTGATCACTTGGACTCCCTTTACTGTCAATGTGCAGAAAGAAGAGTTTTGAGAACAAGATTCATCTGTTCTGAAAGCAAGCACCCTTTGGAGGTGCTAATGTGCTTCTATTGAGTGTAAAGAGAGACTTGCTGTCCAGCCAGCGTTTAACAGCTCGGCAGTTTGGGGACTTTACTGGTCACATAAAAGTGCTTCCACAACAAAACCCAAAATGGGTGGAACAGTGGACTGTTAAAAACTGCTGTGGAGTTCTTCAGCTGAGCATGCAAATCATGGCAAGGGTCACTAGCAGCACTTTCACAGTGCTTTGGCCAGAGTGCTTACTTGTCTGTCAGGAAAAAGAGCCATCCCTCCTTCTACAAGGACAATTGCAGATGATACCATCATTGAGAAGGACATGAGGCACTTCATACTCATTATAATCTTAGTGTAGTAAGGTTAAGAAATCCAACTGTGCTGCTGTTGATGTTGGTTATTAATAGCATGACTAGGGAAA